CACATCATACAGATTTCTTTGTGACTATGTCTTGTATGAGAATTTAATACAAAGGAACAGGCGTCAGTTGTGCAGCAAATGTTACAACATTAGTTACTGTTTACGTTTGAGAACTATTTACTTCGAAACTTGATTATGAGACAATCTTTTAATGATTCAATATTTTATTTATTTATTCAATATCATAATATTTATCAATCTTTAATGCACACAAAAGAAGGTACAGAATCTTTTCTGTTGTTCCCCGAAGGGCTTTTTTTAGGGTTTTGTTAGGGAATTCACACACTTTGGGTGAGACGAGAGGCCGTGTTAGACTCTTGCTGACTAAAAACCGTTGCTACTTCTTCCAGTCCAGCCGGAGCCCTGGTTACCCGTAGGTTATTCGCAGCTCCAGGTCGGAAATCAGACCTACTGGACACAACTCTGAAGGGCTTTTTTTTTATGGGGGGAAAATCATCGAATGACTGCTCCCGCCTGGGTGAGGCGGAAGGGAATGTCAGACTCTTACTGACTAAAAACCACCCCGTTCCTTCTCCTGCACGTCGAGTCGGAGCCCCGGTTACCCGTTAGGTTCTCCGCGACTCCGAATCGGCATCGGCCCTATTGGGCCCCATCTGTGGTGGTCTGATGGCTCTTTGAGGCGCGCGCGGAACGCGACACGCCGTACGCTCGGGTCTGTTTCTGGTCGGACGGGGAGCCACCCATGCTCGCCGTCCGCAGGCCCGCGCTTACGGCAGAGATCGTCTCGCGATCCCCGACGCCCGGTGTGTCCTTCGCGATGGCTGGGTTGCGAGGAGGCAGCGCTTCGCTGCCTCACGCGTCCCGCCTGCTCCTTAGCTAGCATGACTGCTTCGCAAAAGGAGGAGACGGCATCCCAGTCCCCCTCGCTCCGCATCATGGCCTGCACTAGGCCCGGACGCGAGAGGTCGCCATCGCCGATCACTTCCCTGAGGGCACGGCGGTGCTCAGCCCACGAAGGGCATTCTCCCACCGTGTGTTCCACCGTGTCCTCAGGGCGGTCCTCGCAGTGATGACACCCGGGCGTTTCCTCCCGCCCCATCAGACACAGGTACCTCCCGAAACTTCCATGTCAACTCTGAAGGGCTAGGCAGAGGTTATCCTGTGCCTAGTATATGCCTATAGTGAATGGATTTTTTACCAGTTACGTTAGTAGTCGCAAATTCGCAATTTATTTGGGTTATCGTAATATTTTGTGTATTGTTTACTCATTAGGGAATTACTTATTACCTATACACAAAGTAACTACAAGTTTAGTCACCGTTCTACTGCTAAAATTATGATGTCAATACGCCTAATAATAAATTAACAGAATCTGATAATTGGACACATAATTCGAACACATGTTTGTACGTATTTGCACTTTCGACTACTAAAGTGCAAATACGTACAAACACGTAAACCAAATAACACAAAATCTGAACCAAGAAATAAACAAGGATATAATATGATAAAGCAGTCAGAAATCATAATACGAACAAAACGAATGAATATCGAATTCACATTTCCAGAAATAACTCCCAACAATCAATTCACAATCATTCATCCAAATATTCAGATATCGATCAAATTGAATTCATTCACTAGCAGCAGCGCCAATCTCAAAAACCGTTTATTAATAAAAAAAATAAGCGAAAACGTTAAAATATCGCAATAACAGTCATCAATCCGTTCTCTAGTCACGACAAGATTCACTTGCTGCTTCTATTTATAGCAAAATATGCTCTATCATAGTCGCAAGAAAGTTTAAATCCAATTGATGTTAATGAAACAATCGTTTTGTTCGCAATTATCATTGTATTTTCACATCGACGACAATAAACCGTTTGATGTACTTCAACATATTGATGGAGATTTAGAGTCATGTAATCTTAGAGAAAATACCATAACTCCAATGACCATATCTGTTAACTGGGCAAAGGCGAAATCTACTTATATTGCCAAACTTTAGAATCCCTAGACACAATTACGTACAGTAAATATAAGTTTGTCGAATGTTAGGTTTCCCGCAGTGGACTTTACGCTGTAACTGTAGGGCCGATGGTTGAAATTAGCTTGAACCAATATTATAAAATATGTGAGATTGTGTGTATGTCTGTTACTCTGTCACATCAAAAAGGCTGGAGAGACTGGGATGATATTTGAAGCAGAGGTAGATAATGGGCTGGAGTAGCTTTTACCTTTGGGAACCTGGGCGAAGTCGCTGGCAGAATCTAGACTTAAATAAATTGATTATTATTGAAAATTATTGCAATGTTTACAATTTTTTCTATGTGTGCAATAAAGTATAAATAAATAAATTGTTGAAAAGATTTTACTAATATCGTGCAATAAGGAAACAGGTAACAACTATAAAAATAACAAATAAGATGCAAACCTCGTTTTAAATTCGTTGTTGTAGTGACCTTCTAATAACTAGGTTAGCATTCAATTTAAACTAGATTCATCTGGATGTCAGTAGCTCTTGTACTTATCTAACTATCTGCGATCCACAGCTCTTGAATTACAAATATCCTTTGGTTAGGCACGTTGCCAAAATATTCAGGCAACTGATTGTCCGTCCGTATTTAGTATTGTAGGTTCGAATATATCAAGTAAGTATACGCTGAGAAGTTCTTCCTCTTTCTGACCTTGATCATTTTTTTTAAATAAGCTTTGCCTTACTCTAGGATTTTATTCTGTGTAGTGGGTGCGTTTACAAACATACAACTTCACATACCCATCACACCCAGACCCCGTTAAAGGTCAACTTATCAAGTATAAAAAAATCTACCCTTTTATCGATGGTGTTCATCACTCATACATTTACCATTACTGTCCTAAGTCCAAACTTGGAACAAACTAAATAAATAAACTGGAATACATTGAAATAAATATAAACAATACACTCTATTACTAATCAAATACATAACGACAATCAGTTCACTACGACGCGACGCATTGAGCTGGATTGTGCTACATTATCATCGTTTTAAGGAAGCTTAATACATAACTATACCCAGACACATATAAACTAAACATCATCGGAAGTCCTATGCAATATAATCTCTGTACACAGCCAACAATAGTTTCATGAATACACAAAACGGTTACAGAATCGATTCTCATGAATGGACGTCGAAGCGTTGGACCGCAACTAGTTCCCATTGTATCCAATATATCGAGGCGGAATATGACTGCGACAAGAGTTTGATTGCTTAAAGTCGTTCATGGCTAAAGAGGTCGATATAGAAGAGTATTTATTCAAATTCAGGGGTAGTTCCAATAACAAAATAGGTTGGTAATCGTCATTTTTAAAAGGCATAAAGTCGTACAAATTCGGACAGGTTACTCGAAAAATTCGTCTGATAATTATGATGAAATAAGTCATAAATATAGTTTTTAGGATTTAGATGACAATAAAATTAAAAATCCGACAGTATTCAGTACGGCAAAAATAGAAATTCCTAAGAAAGAAGTAAAAACATCAATAGACAACAAAACTAAAATGTTAACAGACCATTTTTCAAACTGCCATATTTGATAAATCAATGGGTAAAAAGTGTGTTGACAATTCGCGTGGGATAATTAATTGCGACGTCGAATAGCGTGTCTCACATAAACACTACCTAGTCAAGCTACATAAATTACTGTTTTAATAATATTAAGGACATTCCTATTTATATTATTCTAAGTATATTGTTAAAAACCGAAAGCAATGCTGTCATCTTCAGAAACACCGCAAGCAGTGGTTGAATGCAAAGGGCTGACGATTGAGCTCGTGGCGTCTTATCGGTGAAGAGACCTATGCCCAGGAGTCGTTAGTAATGCCAGTCGAAAACGAGTTGCTAATGAAAATAATAATTACAAATTCTTTATGTTTATAAGGTCTAAGTTTGTAACATAACAAAACGCTGATAAAACTCCGCAGATTCTATGACTCACATCTTCTTAAATTGTTCCTAAATATCTTCGATTAATGCTTTCCTAGGTAGCTATTAATCAACCCCTGATTAACACCATTATTGCATTCTAGTTCAGGCGTGCTCAGGTAACGGGAAATTCTAATAAGAAGTATTTCTCATTAAAGCTGTGAGCCTAGGTTATGTAATTTATGTCCGCAAGCTTGTCTACTGTGACATGGCAATGATGGGATGCAACGAGTTCAAAGTCATAAGCTTTTAACACTTCTGCTAGCTATTAAACTAAACTACACACGTCTGTCTGTTCATAAATATGTGTAAGTTCTAACTCTTTGCTGTACCTAGCGGTTTACTTAAGTACAATATCGTGTAATCAAATTGCAAGCCATTGTCGATCGAGATTACATTCGTATTGTACGTACCTAGCTATTGCATCTAAAAAAACTTAAAATCCGTTGCGACCTCATTCCGCTTTTGACTTCTTGTTTTCCTTTCACGAATCGGCGACGTTATACCAACAAAATTACGGTCGAGTACAATTTTTGAGACTTTATCGACGTTATTCGATAGTTTTTGTTACCTATCTGGTATTTATAGGGTTTATATAAGCCAGGTGAAAAACAATACCACAATAACATGTTTTATGCAATTATGCATTTGGTAAATCACAAATGCCATGACACGTGAATGCGATAGTATAATGATATTTACCTATTTATAGCACAATACCAATCCGCTTTCCTTCCAGTCCCATTTCCAGCGCAGTCAATAGATTTAACGAGAGAAATCTAACATTCATGATTAATTTGACCTTCAATCTCTGCGACAAATCGCAATCAATTAAAGTCTCCGTCATAAATCGCATGCGTTCGAATATCACCTTAACTACGTTCCATTACAAACTACGTTCAAACGTCAACAAAACGAAATCAGAAGTTTTGTTTTTTTTTTTTGGAAAACGGAATTTGGATCGTGGAAACGTCACCACGATCAGTGTCATTTTCGCCGTCCAGATATTTGGATCAAAATTCTAGTAACAGTAATAAAATCTTAGTGCGACTGTGTCTTAACATACCGGTGTGAATCGTTCCTCCTCAGCATTAAGCAAATCACCAACAGAAGATGCTTTCGCCTGATTTGCCAAATGCCTTCGGCTGTTCAGAACGTACGACAACTCATCCAGGTAACGCAGCGTCAAGTTAGCCATTATTCACAACACTAGAACCACTACAAACTGATCATTTACCACTCGCGTCAACAATAGCCGGTAGCAACAATAGGATAGGAAACTGACTAATTCACGTAAACAATTCTGTGGGAATCGCGGAGTAGAAGTGACGTGCGTACCGCGCCATAGCCTCGTCGCAACTGAGCGCGACTCGACGGCTGCGCTGTTCATCGGCCATAGAGTAAACATACGTAGAAAGTTAATCGGGTTCGACCTTATTATGGTTTTAGGTAAACACTCTTAATATCTAGATTAAAGTATTCGTTGAGTCACTCCTAACTGCGATTATGTCATTGTGGACCTGGTCAAGGCTAAATTCTATGGTGTCCAAACAATACAGTTGGTATCTGTCGACCTCTAATCCCGTTAGATGTTCCGTATTCCTAGGTAGTTACTATAGAACATCTTTGTTTAGAAATCAGTGCAATTAGTGGGGAAATCAAAGAGCAATTAAAGTTTATGGCTACACCACATGAAGCTGGTGTGGTGATTAAAAAGTTGAAACTATTTGTCTAATTAAACTGCTAAGTATTGATGAGAGAACCATATTAACCACAAGAGCTTGAAAGGATAAAAGTGTTTCAAAGTACTTCGTAACTAAACCTTATGATGAAATAAATTTGATAAAATAACTGATACGTGAAAATTTTCTTTCTCGTTTTTTATAAGTGAATTAAAATTACTAATGGACATGGATCATTGTTACTTCACCTCTTTCTATTAGTCCTTACAACACAAAACACGAATTATAATCCTTCGTCGAAATATTAGCCAAAACAAACAACAGCATATCATATTTTTATCACTGAATTGTCCATCGTCATCATTAGCCTATGCTAGTCGTAACTTCACCAAGAGCACGCCACTGAGCTCCACTTCCAGCTCATTATCCAATCATTTTAGCGGCTATCATCACCCCACCACAGAAAAGACCGCCACAGAAACGATACAGCTAATTAAAAACAAGGAAGTATACAATAAACAATTAGAAGAATTATCCACGCCGCTATCTATAATAATGCCTTCTAATCTATGTCTATTCTTGTCGATCCATTTCTTACGAATAATTTACATGACGTTGATTTGAAGTTTCAAAGTCATTTCCTAGGTGTTACGTAAATCTAGCTCAGAGCTCGAAGCTTGGAGGATGTCTGTGAGAGTTATAAGTAATGTAATTAGCACATATATTTATAGTAACATTAATAGTTTCGTCATAGATTGCTAATAGATTGATAAAAATAACTATCGTAGGAGTTTCGTAACTGAGACTGTGGTGATTAGATTTCAAGATGATTTTATTGTAACTTTTGTTTACCAAAATGTTATGCAGTTTTTCAATTTTGGTATTACTTATTGTCAATAAGTGTCAATATAAGATTTGAATCAATTTTTCTGGTACACCCATCGTCTATCGGATACATACCTAGATACACAACAATTGTCTTTTTTTAATATAAGTAAAGTTTTCTTTAAACCAGCATATTTTTTAAGCTAGAACGATATTTCAAAAAAATCTGAAGAAGGTAATACTTATCTACGTTATTGTTATCGACATCAGTTATTGTTGTTGGTATTCCTTGTTCATGACCACTTAAAGTTTTGTATGGACTTTTTATTATCAAGGAAAGACACTTTTTGCTGTTCACAATGTAAAAATAAATGCAGAAAGCAAATTGGGATTGATAAATGAGTAAAAGTTACGATAACCATACTACCCCAAACAATGAGTAATATTGAGAATGCAAAATAACATTAGCGTTTCTATTGTAAAATGGATATGTAATCTAAAATTTACTACTGAGGTTGATGTTCAATCATTGAGAATGCCTACAGAACTTCAAATTAATTTCCATCAACATTGATGGAGTACTGGACAACCACTCGTCGTTGATAGCTGTCATATCCACACGTTTTCAGGACTTTATAACTGAAGAGATTTCCAGTACTACATTTCCAACAAACAAATACTAGTGCCAATAGGATTTAAATAAATTTCGTTTAGATCTCTTTAAAGATGCCAGAATGTGTTATTATAAATTAAGATAATTTAAAGTTTTGTTTACTTTTTTATGGGACAAGTCAGTAAACCAGCAGACGGATCACCTGATGATAAGCGTTGGGCATCGCCTCTGGACACCTGGAACACCAGAGGCGTTACAAGTGCGTTACCGGTCTTCTGGGGATTAGGAAATTGAGGAATGTTGGGGATTCTGGGATTGGGGAGATTGGCAAAGGGGGAATTGGGCCTCCGATAACTTCACTCACACGACGAAACACAACGCAAGCGTTGTTCACGTCGGTTTTCGGTGAGGCCGCGGTATCACGCCGGTCGAGCCGGCTCATTTGTGCCGGGCATGGCTCAAATTACTTTAAAAACATAATTATCATTCATAGCTTCAACTTTTTTTACAATCATGTTTTACATTTAGTCTTTAAAAAAGACATTGTCACTTATTTTTTTAGTAGAATACCAGCGCAAGGCTCTATTTTGCATATGCTGAACTGGTACCATTTCACCACAGACTTGGAACATGAATAGTACATATTCTATCAGTATTTACAAACTAATATTTTAATCTTTACATATCACCTGTTTTAGCGTGCGAAATAAAGTTTTTTTTTCTTTCTTTCTTTACATCTTCAGTTGATTCAACGTTCACCAAATATAAATTTGATTGGTGTATTATACCTACCAATCAAAACAACTACACAACATTTAAAAATGAAACCAGCCTCATTTCATCTTTGACACATAATGTAAGAAAGTCGTGTCCCTCAGGGCAGTATCTTAGGGCCAACACAAAAATCCAAAGTTGCACAACAGTTAAAAGTGATTGGGAATGGGCAGGAGCTTCACGTTTCGAGACTCCACGTCCGACATGGGCACGGTAGGTCAGTATTGTACCGACTAATGGCCCTTCCTTTCACTTTCGCACACAATCTGAACTTTACTAGAGCAATGATTGGAACTACATTCTTTTAGGAATTCTTTTTTGGTATAGAACCTCGGCTATATTTTTTTTTGAGTTTATTTTTACTCTAGTATGATATATGTTATAAATACCTATTTCAGATTTATCATATGTAGAAGGAACAGGAATTTAAGGGACTTAAAACTATAGCTATTGGAAATAAAAATGTTTTAGCAATATGAACCAAAAACATCATTAATATTTTGTTTAAGAATTAATTTTATGACTTTTTTGAAATCTTCGCATTTTTTACAATATTTTTTACTAAATTGACATTTCAAAGCTTTCTAGATTCGCCTTGAAGACAGTATAACCTCGTACTTCAACTATTGGAAAATAATATTTCGAAATTATGCTTTTAAAGTCACTCGTGTAAAGAATGCAATCATAATTATAATTACAATAAGTCGCTACTTATTCATAAGATTCCGAAACAATTTCTTCATTAAAATATGAATGTGAATGTTGAAACACAACTGTTGATAAAAAGAACGTTGCATATGATTTTTTACACAAATTTCTTCAATGCCAACTGATCGATTGCTACCAGCTGTGTCCTTTGAGACTTTTTGCAAGGATCCTTTCAAAATGGACGTAAAAAATGCAGGTAGAGGTGCTGTTATATTGAACGTGGTATCTGTTTTGAAGGTTTTATCAAACAACGGTAAAAGATAAGTAATAAGGCAGAATACTATCGTTACTTCATACTGTTCTCCGAAAAGGCAAACAGAAACGTCCGTAAGTACGTCCCGGACATCCAAACTTACAGTAGCATTTTGTCCAGAAAAAATATGTGATTAATCTCATTGTTACAACTTAGGTACGTATATCATAAAGCACACGGCCAACCCAGCCCTATTTCAGACTATCACTATCACTATTGATATTATTAAAATTGCTAAACTCAATAGTAAGTACTATAATCTATGCCACAATCTTATAATCATGCCTCGACTCAAGTCAAAATCATTTATTTCAATTAGACCAGGAAAGCACTTATGAACGTCAACAAAAAATTAAAGTTAAAGCTATTTACTTATTCCAAGATCAAGAAGGTGCAGATTTCTATGGAGAAGAACGATCAAGAAACTCCACTCTTTTTCAATCAGGTTCAGAATAAAATCTCATGGTCGGTAGCCACTACAACAGCCTTAGAATAGGGCAATCTAATAAACACGCGAATTACACGTACTGAGTATCATTACCTACTTGTGCTACAAACTGTTACGTACCGCGATGACAGCCAGATACCAGAGATATTGTTTCATAACTGAAGCCACGAGAGCAGCGTGTTCATCCACAACAAATGTTTGGCGTTTGCGGTGAACTCAATTGTATCGTGGTTTAACTTATGCGGTAACATTAATGAAATATGTTGTTTCATATTTTATGACATATTATTATCTGGTTTAAGTTCTCTCAGAGGTACAATATCTGTTTGATTTGGTTGTTTCTTAGATAGATTCAACTGTTTGATTTTATGAACTTCTTACTAACTTTTGCCCAAATACTGAAAGGCTGCTTCTATTTTAAGTAGTACTTAAATATTGTGCCATCTCTGTTATTTTACAGAGAATTTGTAGTGACAGAACTATATTTAAGCATGACTTACCTAATATTGAGTAGCGTTGCAATATTCGGGCATTTGTTTATCTAATTTCCAAAACTCATTAAGTGTTTTTATAATAACTATCGTGACATACAAAATTAACTAAAATCGCGGGTTACTCGCGTGAATATACTGGGAAAAGCTCTACTAGTTTCGAACCACAGAGGGGTTCTTCCTCATGAGTAACGTGCGCGGTCACGGTGACGTCGCGCAGCTCACTGTGCGAGTGCGAGAGAGAAGAACCCCTCTGTGGTTTGAAAGTCTCAATGAAAAGTTCAAACTAACCTAACTTGTGTTCTTGCTTTTATTTCAAGCGCAGCGAACGAAACTAAGGTTTTAATACTTTTTTAAGTTTAACAAGATCAAAACGTTTT